AAAGCCATTAAGAATGACAAAGCACCTTTTTGTTTTTCAGATGGGTCCCGGGAGCTGCGAGCAAATTGCCTGGCTCATGCATAATAAACCAGGCGTGGAAACACGCCACGTAATAGGCTACATTTGTAGGGAAACAAAATCATTAAGCCAACCCATTTGAAGGGCTCCCCGGACGCCGCGGTGTGCAGTGAGGCCCTGAGCCCCTGTGCACCCCTTGCTGGCACCCACTCACTGCTAAAAGCTTCTGTGAAATGGGTCAGGGGAGCTGGTGAGTGGGGGGATGGTGGGGAAGGAGGCTGAGGTGTGACAGCGGAGATGGAGGCAGGGGGTATTGCTGCCAGGGATCCCAGTGGAGATCAGGATCCCAGGGTGCCCCCAACTCCAGGGCCCAACATCCACCCTCAGTCCCCTGGAGCTTGTTGTACGACTCTCGGCATCCATCAGCAACCCCGTGCTGCTGCCATCCAGCCACCTGCGGTGGAAAATGCACCTGCGAGGAAATCAAAGTCGATGTGGTGGAGAGCTCTGGGGGCACGTGGGTGGTGGGGGGTGGTGCTGGAGAGTGTGGCTAGAACACTGCTCACAAAGTGGGGAGGCAGGGAAGGCAGGGGCCAAATCCTGCCCACCCCAAGCCACAAGACTTGGATGTTGAGGAGCAGGGAGACACCCCCGAATGCAAATCACTTGCTTGGCTCCGGAGAGTGGGGGTCCCCAGCTCTCTTGCACCACGACACTCTTTTGAACCAGCTCCCCCAGGTCAGAGGCACTTGAGGTCCATGGAGTGGTGATCTGACCCCTCTCACATGCCTGCATGCAACCCCAGCCCCTCGGCCCAGCTTCCTTGCACACCCCCAATGCCCTTTGCATGCTTCTTGGCCAAACTCCCCCTGCCAGGTTGAGGGCTGGCTGTTCCCTGCCGGATGCCCGGACATTTCGGGCAGATCTCCGGGCAAGAAGAACACCGGCCGCAAAGTTGTAGGAGTTTGCATCGGCAAGATATTTATATAAAATATATATTTATATACATTCATATAAAGAAACCTCCCCCCACCCTCGTCCCACGCGGACAGCCCGTGCCCTCGGGTGAGACAGTATCACTTGGTGGGCATGGGTTATTATCCTCGCTGGTGAGGCCAGGCCCCTCCCCAGACCCACCCGGCATGGACAGGGCCCTCAAGTCCAGCTCTTATAGCACAGCCCCGGGGGGATTCGTGGCCTCCCGAAAGCCAGGAATGTGAGTTTTTTTTGGCGAGGGGCACAGATTCAAGCTTTTCTTCCCACCCCCAAGGGCTTGGGAGACTCTTTGGAAATAGCAGGACTCCGGGTGCTGGGGCTGGAGGCCCGATGTCATGAGCTGGGCAAGGACGTGGGGCCTGAAGGTCCCTTCGGCTGTGGGGCAGGGAGGGTCGGGGGCAAGGGTGTGCATACAGGGCTGCAGGGGCTTCTCCCCCACAACAGCCTCCAAGCCGGACCTGGAGCGGGGAGGGGGACTTCCCCCCGCTGTGTCCTGGGGGGGCAGGGGCTTCCCCTTGGTCCTTTCTCGAGGAAAACAAAACAGAAAAATATATAAAATAGAGATATATGAGCCCCAAATCAACCCGGCGGACGGATCCAAAGTGCTCGGCGGGGGGGGATGGTCCTTGGTGTCTCCCTTTTCTTCTCAAGGGGCCAGTGTTGGGGGCGGGCAGGGATTTGGGCCCCTGGGATGCGGGGGTGGGGATGGCTCTGCTCAGCAATGGAAGCGCTCGGTGTAGGGCCAGTGCCAGAGGGGCAGTCTGGCTATGGGTTAGGGTCACAGGGAGGGGGCCCTGCTCCCCTCCAACACTGTTGCTGGTGGGCGGGGTCTGAGCTGCTTGGGGCCCTAGTCTGGTCCCCTACAGGTGGTTCCTGTGGCTGCCTGTGGGCCTGATGGTGATGGCACGGGGGGCACCCAGATGTGCCACTACAGGCCTCTGGCATGTTCAACACCCTCCCCCCCCGTTGCTTCCAGCATCCCCGGGACTCACTGTGTGCACCCCTGGTGGCTCTGGGGCTGGGGGAGACTCCAGTGCCCCTCACCCCTGCCTCACTGTTAACCCCTCATTGGTGGGACTGTTAACCCCTCATTAGGTATTTGGGTCCCCCCAGCCCTTCTGCCTCTCCAGGCTCCGGCGCGTAGTAGGGAAATGGCTCCTCTCCCTCGTGGGTGCGTGTGTGTATGTGTGTGTGTGTGTGGTGGGGGGAGAATGTGTGTGCTGGGGGGGGTCCTGATGGGAGAGGAGCCATGGTGCTTCATGCCAAAATGGGCACAGTCAGGACCCCCAAAGTATTTCCCTCCAAACCCAATTCTGCAGAGGCTGGACCGCGGCCGGGAGGAAGCCCCGGCGGGCGGAGGGATGGAAGCTCAAGTACGGGGCGTGTCCATGGGGCCGCCGGACGCCTGGGTTCCCTGGAGGCGGGCGGCGGTGGGGGGGGTCAGAAAGAAGCCCCTGAATATCAGGGGCCAGTGGCGAGGTTCCGCGGCCCCCCCGGAGCCGGGCGCCCCGTCCTCAGACGTGAGTCTGCATGCGCTGCTGGAAGCGCTGCCCATAGTCCGAGTGCTGGGAAGTGTAGGAGAAGCGGGTGGCGCTGGCGTACTTGCCCATGGCGTCGTAGGCGGCGCGGTCCAGGCTGGGTGGGGGCGGCTGGCTGTAGCCTAGGCGGTAGGTGGCATAGCCAGCACTGGGCGGGAAGGCGGCATGCCCGCCGTAGTTCTCGTAGGACAGCTGGCTGGCCGTGTCACCGGTGGCGGGGCCAGGCGCAGGCCCCGGAGCGGGCTCGGCGCTGTACTCAGAGCTTGGCCCCCGTGCGTAGGTGTTCAGCTGGGCATAGCCGCTGGAGTGCGAGAGCCGTGAGGCCGGACGGGTGTCGTAGCGGGCGGGCCCTGGCGCACGGTAGTCAGCGTACAGCACCGAGCGCGAGGCCGGCCGGTCCTCGTGGGCGCGCACATTGTAGTAGCCATTGGTTGGGTCCTAGTGGGGGGAGAGTGGGAGAGGCTGCTGGGGGTGGGGGAAGGACCCAGGAGTCTGGGTGACCCGCTGGAGTCGAGGGCCGTGCCTAGTTGGGAAAAGGACTCGAGAGTCCTGGCCTCCATGCCAAGACCCACCCCCACCCCCACCCAGAGCCGGGTGAAGAACCCAGGAGTCCTGGCTTGCACCTGTCCAGCAAGCATGCATAGGCAGTCACTTGGGCACATGTGCCACGCGTGTACCCCTCTGGCTCACCTTAAGCTCGTACTCCTCCCGCGTGTCAATGGTGTCGCAGCGCAGGTCCTGCTTCAGGTCCACGTCGTCCTTGAATGACTGCGCAAGGAGAGGTGGGGGGACAGGCTTCAGCTCCTCCAGCCCAGGCCCAATCCCTCCCTGCCCCCATGGGGGTCCTAGCAGGGGCCCCTCCATGAACCCAAGAGTGTGGGCTCCCAAACAGAGAGGCACTGAGCCCCTCGCCCTCCCATGCACACAGTTGCAGCCCCTCACCGAGTAGATGGCCTTCATGACGCGGGTGGCGGTGGACACGCTGGCCGTGTCCTCCTCGCGGTCCGGGTGCAGGGTTAGCGGCTCCCGATTCACTGTCTCCACCTTGATGTCCAGCTTGCGCAGCGTCACGTCCTTGCGGCCTAGCAGATGGATGCACGGACAGGCTTTACTGGCTGCACCTGCCCCCCAATGTAGGGGGATCCCCTCCAAGCCCCAGTGTCCAGACCCCCCCCCCCC